TCCAACATGCGCCTACTTCCTCCAACCGTAGCTCCTACTCACTCTAACGAGTGCGTTTGAGTGAGTAAGAACTACGGTTGGAGAAGGAAGTAGGAGCATGTTGGAGCATGCGACGTGAACAAACCTGTACATCATGGCCGCTATCATGGTACCACGTGCCACAGTGTGCGGCACATCGCTGTGTATGTCAGTGTAGAAAACGCATCGTAAATTCACGTTTATGCATACTCGATTATTTTCGCTCTCAATACTTGATATATATCTATTTGATATATTGTATATCTGTTTCTTATGCTCTTGATGCTGTAGACCACGAAGCAATTTTATCCAAGAACACGATCGTATTGAATTAACCTCACTAATCTTTGTCAACAGAAGCTTATCAGGTATGTAATAAATCGCCATATTTTATTTTATTTTTAAGAGAAGTTCTTGTATTTCTTGCATTTTTTGTATTATGTAAGTTAAAATTAATTGACCAGAGCAGCTTTTGCCAAATATAGGATTGTAAAGTATACATCATATCTTATAGAAATAGAAATACTATAAACTTTACAGAAAAACGACAAGAGACAAAAATTATTTATTTTCTTCTCATAAAGTTCTGAGAATTTTTTCAGAATTTTTTAATACCGTATTTTCACATGTTCATAAAAATAAGAAAATGCAGTATTAAAAAGTTGATAAAAAATTATTGTCTATGTACGTGTTTCTTTCTTTTCCGAAGTTCATTAACTTTTATCTCGGGCGATAGAAAACGAAAACTTGAATAAGAAACAAAAAAGACAAGATGTAAAAAATAGCAAAAAGAACAAAAAAAACAACATTGTAGAATAACCTATTTAACACTAGGCCTGTTCTTTTTGACTGAACTTTTGCATCAGTTCATCTTTCTTCTTCTTCTTTCCTCCTGGAGAAAAAAGAAAGAAAGATGAATTGGTGCAAAAGTTCAGCCAAAAAGAACAGGTCTATTACCAGATACTCGGTAGTGTCTCGGCGCTAAGCGAAGCGCAGTTAAATTATATACAACGGAGACATAAATGCCAGCCTAGTCATCCAAAGTTGCACGCTTATCGGAAAAGATGTAATAAGAAGTCGAATTAATGGAGAATTGAAGAAAGAATGAGGAGGCATGAAAAGACAGGTATTTGTGTCCCATACAAACATTTTATATTTACGAGCTGTATAATTTATAGTAAAAAAAAATTATATCGAAAATTTTTAAAACGCATTTTAAAGGTGACAGTACTTCATATTAATTGATATCTATTCTGTGCTCTCTCTTTCTGTTGGTGTGGACAAAGTACTTTCATTTGAGAATATGATCGCATTTTAATTAATTAATCTCGCTAGACTTCGTCAACATTGCAGAAGCTTATCGCAGGTACGTAATAATCATATTTCATCCCTCTACTATTTTTAAGTAAAGAGTTCTTGTATTTCTTCCAATTTTTTCTATCATGTAATTTAAAATGAATTTAAACAATATTTTTATTAAAAGCAATTAAGGGTTGTAAATACATTTCAAGCTATAATTTTTAATTCTGTACGACAATTTGAACGTTACACGTGTATTACAAATTGTACATACGATTGTATGTACAATTTAATGTAATGCACAAGTTACATGCGTATTGAAAATTTAAAAACATTTTAAAGGTAATATATCGTAATTTAATTTTTAACTTCTTAATTCGATCATCTAACAATACTGAGAAAATATTCTTTTTGTAAGTTTAATGTATAATTTATAATTTTCAATTAATATTATTACATTCCTTATTCATTTCTGAATCATAGATATATTTTTATAAAATTCAAGATAGATGTTTTTTTTCTTTCAAGCGACATATAGATTTTTTAGCTATACATTTCGTTGTGTTTAACAGAGAAAGCAGCTTTATAACTGTTAAAAAATTCTTTAATATAATTGGTTTATATATTTAGGTCTGTAGTGAGAAACTAAGTGCAAGACTAATCATAACATTAAAGAATTTTACAATAAGTATCAAAGCTGCTTTCTCTGCTGAACACAGCCATTGTCAAAACTATTACATGTTATGTCATATGTCAACACAGCATATACAAAAACTATAAAAATATTCCAAGTAGAACAACAAGTCATTATAATGTCAAAATGACTTTAAAATGATTACTAAAAGTCATTTTTTAATCATTTTCGGTTGATTTTAATATTATTTTGACATCATTTTGATATTACAATGACGTTCTGCTTGGGATCACTCTATAAGATAATTCTAACTTATTTTTATTATATTATGTGTGCTACACATTTGTATAGAGTAAGTAATCTTATAGAGTAAGTAATAAGTAATCGAAAATACATGATTTATTTTTTGTATTTCAGATATCATTTCTCACTTGGTCTATGACTTATTAACTGCAGATAATAGAACACTGTTAATAGTAATTAAAAATAAGGAATTTCGAACGAAAGGAAACTTATAACGTTTTTCATTCAGATTAGATTAGCTGTACAACAGCTGTAATGTGCATTGAGTGTACACCAGTTCTGCTACTGAAAAACGCTAATACTCTTCGTTAAATCTTTTTTTCTCATCACATTTACCGCACCGGTAAATTCCGTATATTTTATCTGTTATTTGTGTATATTTATCAATTTCTTCCATTCTTTTGTCTTATGTATTTCTGTTTTATTAGTGTAAAAAATCGTTCCACTTGCTAATTTAATCTAGTTTGGTTCTGCATTACAATATCATGTCATCTGTAAAAGCATTGATTTCTGTTTTTCTAATGTCATTACCGAATTGATGTAATTTATTAAATTTACTTCATTATACCACTTGAAACTTCTATTGGCAAGAATTTAAAGTTTTATATAATAATTTAGCACCGACACGGTGATTTGCGACTATTCTGTATGGGGTGAACGCGGAAATCGTTCACTTTTTAATACTCGGCTAATTAAAGCAATATATGGTGAGTGCTTCATCTCTGATATATACATAAACATAGCCATGCAATTAAGTGGTTCTTTTTATAACTTATACACTTAATAAATATGTTCAATTATATACTTAATAAATATATTTTGTTTCCATCATAGATGCAGTATCATTCAATTTCCAACCACCTCCTCACAGAGACGAATTTTTTAAACAGGTTTCAGAAGAGGTTCGTTTCGGAAAACAACGAATTCTGAATATCACTGTTGGGAAGAAACAACAAGTGACTGAAACTGAGGCACGTCAAAAAAAGCATGATGAAGCACAACGAAATTTGTTGAATCATCAGAGAGAAAACTTACGTAACTCATCGTTGCCGCATGCCACTGAAGAGGAGGACCATCAAGATTAAATAAATGTGTTATACAGCTTTAATATAAGAGACTTTTTTGTAATATGACTTATATTTTTTCATTTAATATATAGTTTATGAAAATATTTATAAAAGGCCCGAATTCAGTAAGACTGTTTTTTGTAATACAACTTATATTTTTGTTTCATTTATATAATAGAATTTATGAACATATTTACAAAAAGGCCTAAATTCAGTAAGACGGTTTTATGTAATACAACTTATATTTTTGTTTCGTTTAATGCAGTTTATGAAAATATTTACAAAAAATTAGAAAAATTTTTTTTAATATTTCAATAGTGTACGTACTATGTTAATCTTTAATTTTATATGTAATATAATTCGCTAAAATCCAATCAATTGTACAATTTTTGCACAAGTACCCTAGCTGGTATAAATTCCCATATATACGCTTAGAAACCAACTGGGTAGCGATTATGTAACTTTTTCCCTAGGACGGAAATGTAAAAATTTTTTGTACGCATATGTGTATACATTATGTATATACATAAAAATATGTATATACGTAAAAATTTGTACTCTTCACGTTTCTATTCCACAGAAAGAATTAAGTTACATAATCGCTACCTTGTTCGAATATACTACGAAGGTTGTCATAGAATTTTCCATGGTAAATTCAGCATCGTATTTCGTGGTTTTGTGGAGATTTATGTATCAGAGCGGTACAGTGAAATTCGATTGTAATCAGTGATGAGAGATGAAGGGACAAATCCGCGCCTGCGCAACGGCAGTCATCATTTGTATACATATAATACTATATTATATACATTCAAAGACATCATTAACAGAGTCTCTTTGTAGAAGGAATATAAATAATTTATTTATATCCCTTCCTGGTAAACACTGATAATGTCTTTAAATAAGGTAATATTATTATATGTATGTCTAAATACGACTAATGACTGCCGTTGTGCGAGCGTGGATTTGTTCTTTTACATCTCTCATCACTGATTGTACGAGTAATACATCTACGCATAGGGCATTCGTGATGAAGCATATATGTGATCGTCTTGCTGTAACATTATGCTGACATATATGATATACGGATGATGACGAAATGTCTTCATTGAAGCAGTCAAGTTGCAGACAATGTGGCCTCATATGCAGATATCATGCATGACAACGATTTGCCGTCATAATGATAGCAAACATCGTTCGTTGAAACTAGCGCATACATGATGTCAAACCGCTGAATCACATTGAGAACTTTACATGACTGCAAAACTATAGACAGTTTGCGGAAGCACCTTGTTTTTAGATTGATGAAATTGAATGCATCATGCGTGACAGCAAAATGATATTATGTTGTTATCATCTGGCTATCTGGGTAACGAGGTCAATTTCGTTACTAATGCCGTAGCTCAGATGGTTCAGCGTTCGACCGGAAATCGAAAGGTTACGAATTTGCCCACGCCGGATGCCGAGTATTCTTCCTTCACCCTTTCTTTCTAAACATTTTTCACACTTTCGTTTCTTGATATTTTTCTGATAATTAAGATCTAATTTTCAAATGTTTAAAAATTAAACGATACCATCAAAATTAAATTTCCATTTGATTCACTAACAAACGAGTTGATTCACTAACAAACAAATAATTACAAATGATGCTTTGATCTTGACAAATGTTACCCAGATGATAATCCTGAACAACATTCAAAACATTAGCCGCCGGTCGGACACCTTGGATAATGTTAATGCCGGAGGTACTGTAAACTTCAAGTCTTATAACTCAAAAAGTACTTGACGAAAATGAACTTAATTATGGTGTTTTGGAAAGCTCTCGAGATGTGCTATGAAAATATGCAATAAAAAATAGGGTGTTCCATTTAAAAAATTCAACGTGACTTTGACTTGACCTCAACGACGCCAGTCAGGATCAAACTGATGAGACTATTGAATAGACTTTTTTAAATCCTACAACTTTTATTTGAAACATTTTTCTGTAAAACTTATATTTTTTGAGATTTTTCAGGGTTTCCATATTTTTTCCTCACCCTGTATATATATCTGTAAACTTCATATATCACATTAATATTTGAATATCTTTGCAGTCACACGACGACCTGACAGAAGCAATGGACAATTTAATCTACAAAAAAGATGCAGCGTCTGCACAGTCATCGGTAAATATATTTTAAATAATGTTTTAATTTCTCTCTCGCTCTTTCTCCTACCTCCTCACACACACACACACACACACAACTAAATTTCTATCAAAAATATATATTACATATATAATAATACAATAAGTGGCCTCTTAAAATTCAAATAATATAATCGTAAAACGGGCAAGTAAGAGTAAAAAATTCGTTATAATACTAATATTAAACAAAATAACCATAAAATGGGTTATAATAAATAATAACATATATGTATATTAAACTATCACTGTATTATAAGTGACGTGATTTTTATTTTCGGACGTGTTTCGACTGACTTCCAATCATCTTCAGCGAACGCAAATAATAAAATAGTTCTTCGATTATTTTTTCGACTGTACGTGAACATCGATGCAATCGAGAGAAAAAATTCTAATGCAACACATTGCAGGAACAGAGATTAAATATCAAATTTTTTTTTAAATTGAGTTTTAAGAAAGTAGTTGCCATTACAAGTGACTTCGTCAAATAGATATAAACGTGTCTTGAATAGATCCTCGAACGAATGCAATGTGTTGCATTATTAGAATTTTTCTGCATGATTGCATTGGTGTTTACGTATAGTCGAAAAAATAGTCGAGGACCAATTGAAAACGGTTCGCACTCCAACTGGAATTAAAGAGAGGACGCTATCCAGTGTGCATTTGTCAGATCATTCTATTTTTGTAAACGTTAGAATTTTTTACTTCATTATTGTTGTATTCGTTCACTGAAGATGACTGAAAGTCAGTCGATGTTTAAATTGCTACTATCATTTTTACTGCTTTAAGAAAATTGCCATCATTATATTCATAATTAATAAAAGAATTGGAAAGAGTAAGGGCACTAGGAGTCGAGCGCAGAAGACGTCGCGCAAATAATACACTTATAAAGAATGAAACTTCTTTATTCGCTAAACGCGCTTACATGTTTCGACTCATTTTTGAGTCTTCCTCAGAGCAAACACACACTAAACATATACAGGGTGACCCATTTTAACTTAGACAGCCAAATAACTCGAAACATCGCGATTAAATAAAAAAATGTTTAAAACAAAAATTGTTGGATATGAAGGGGCTGATTGAACTATGACCTTGACAATGATCTTGTCCTTCATTTTCAAGGTCATTTGAAGGTCAAGGTCATTTTTTTAAATGGGAAGCCCCATTTTTCGTTAAATATTCTTGTAGCTTATCTCGAGAGCTTTCCAAAACACTATAATAAAATATTTTTTCTTTAAGTACTTCTCGAGTTATAATGCTCGAATGTTACAGTACCGCCGCCGACATTAGCATTACGCAAGGTATCCGACCGATGGCTAAAACCTCTTGAATGTTGATCAGGATCATATCCTAGATAACATTCGTTAAGATCGAGGTCATTGGAGATTGTTTCTCTTATTTTCATTTTTGCACTGAAAATTCATTTTTATGTTATTTAACTAATGATAAATGGATGACGTTTCTTGATCGGTACGTCGATCCTCAGACTTTGAACGTTCGAACGGAATTCTTAGAATTAATTCATTTGGACGTGAGTGATTGTAGTGCCGAAAAATTATTTACAAATTTTAGAGCCGAAATGTGGAAAAAACAAATTTGGTTTTCAAACATTCTCGCTCTTTCCTGTGATAATGCCCCTGTTATGAAAGGAAAATACGAATCATTTAAAATTAAATTACAAAAACATTGCAAAAATTTGATAACGATGCCATGTCCTTGTCACGCATCTGCATTAGTAGCAAATGCAGCTTGCAGCGCAATTCCTGAAGCATGCGAGGAACTGTTGTGAAAATCGTTTATCTCTAGCAGTCCCAAGGGTGCGTGTATCTTTGAGCAATTCCAAAAATCATTTTGTTTTGATGGAACTTGTAGAAAAATTTTAAAACTGTCTGAAACGCGATGGCTTTCACGTCATGCATGCGTGGCTAGATTGAACGAAAATTGGGATGTGCAGTTAAAATTTTTGCAAGAAGAGCAATTGAGCGAGAAATCAAAGTCTGGGGCTGCTTTACTATCTCTGATGCAAAATTCCGAAATACAATCGTATCTCTTGTTTCTTGAGTACATTCTGGATGCATTTAACAAGTTTAATGCGTCTTTTCAAACTGAAGAAACAAAAGTTCATTTACTTCAGTCAGCTGTGGAAAATTTTTGAAAACCATTCTTAAAAATGTTATAAAACACCATTATTAAGGGTCCAGTCTCGTTTGTTGGGTCAAAAAAATCGAAATTTTTTTTTGCGGATTTCGATAGCTATAACTGTCTAGAATGTTGTGCTAAAAGGGCAAATCGATATTC